GGTGTGAGAAAGGAGAAACTTTCTGTTTTTGTCCAAAGCGAACGACCCTTTGGAGATCCTGTACGAGGCGAGTCGTTTTCCAAAAATGTGTATGCTTTTGTATTTGTGATATATACTGTAGTATTTAATTTTCTCAAACCAAAATGTGTATGTTTTTGTATAATATTAGGTGAATAAATTGAAAGCATCAAATTCCCCCACTTACACTGAAGAGTTATATAACTTAGCGTTTGGCTTGATTCGCGCTGAATTGTTCTCGGGTTTCCATGTTAACGACGTCAAGTTTTTGGGGACTGCACGAGATAACAAGTTGTGTCTATGTCCCAAGTGGAGGCAAAAGTATGAGCATTGATTTCCATGGCAAACTAACAACTATTGTGCAATTGCTTTACAAAGACCGATACCAAGTGATCATGTCTAAGTGTCGATGGTTTGATACAAATCCAAATAGGCAGGGAAGTGTTGAAATTGACCATGGCTTACTATATGTGAACATTAACAAAACTTGGTACGACAACGACACCTTACATTTTGGCAAACATGGCTAAACAAATTGTGTATCTAGATGACCCTAAAGCCAGGAGAGGTTGGAAAGTTGTTTAGAAGATGGATCAGAGGAACGTGTAAGCTATACTAGAACAAGACCTAGCTGACGACGACGTCGTTGATCAATGTTTAGAATCTTTAATGGAAAATGATGCGGAAACACTTCGAGATACAAATCTTATCCAAGAACCATTTCATATACAAAGAGTGTCTTCAATTGAAATACTGATTCAGTCAATTACAATTGACCACGGTGATATTCTGCGATACTATGTTGCAGTGGGCTCGAACAACGACGGTGACGTAGTTATCGAGAAGGAGGATTGGGAGACCGAAAGTGATGATAACGACAATAACAAAAGTTATTATAGTTCAGATGATGAATAATGCAATTTATTTGTGACTTGCCATGTAAAACATAGTAAATGAATTTTTTTTTTGTAATTTAATTATTATAAATAAATTAGTTTTATTTGAATCAATATATATTTTAAAAAATTTACTCGGGTAAATTAAATTTTCAGCTCATTGCGCAACGAACAAAATATTATTCGTCGTGCGAATGGCATTTGCGCGACAATTAATTACTCTTCGTTGTACAATGAGCTGAAAATGGGTGTGCACAAAAATAATTTCGTGAAAATTTGAATTTATTGCGCGACGAATATTTCTTTTGTTCGTCGCACAATAACCTTGGGATTAAACTGAAATTGCCAACACTTTCCCATTTTCCCCTTACCTTTCTTCTCTGTAAACTTTCCCTCTGACAGCCATCTCCCTCAGCTCTCCCTTGCACTCTTTCTTCCTCCTCCGGCAACCGTCTCTCTTCCTCATCTGGCAGCCCCATTTCTCTTCCTCCTTCGACAACCCTCACTCTTCCTCCTCCTACAATCCTATCTTTTCCTCCTCTGACAACGCTCTCCCTATGAGGTAAATTTCAATTTACCTAACTTTAGTCAAATTAGGAATTAAGGTTATACAATTAGGGTTATAATGTTTTGAATAATTGCTTTGAATTAGGGATCTTGAACTAGGGTTCTAATATGCTTTAGGGTTCTAATGTTTAGAAAGATACATAGAATAATTGTATATGATTAAACCTCTATGTATAATTGAATGTATGTATGGCATGGCAGTTTTTTGGTGCGTGTTCTTAGTTACAGATAGATCTATATACATGTAATCATTTGGGTGTTTACAATTTCAGGTCTTTTGGTGAAATATTTTGTAACAGTGCATACTATTTTGAGTAATTTAGGGCGTGCTTAATGACCTCATACTATTTCGAGTATTACTAGCATCATAGGCCTGATTTTTGTGATGAGATTTTGTTACAGTATCGTTCTAAACTAAATTGTCTTAACAAGCTTTAAATTTTGTTTGAACATGTAACAGTGGTCCTGCTTTATGTGTCAAATCTTTGTTTTCTTTCTTCCCTGACCGCATATTATTGTTCTCGAGCAACAAATTTGGTTCTTAAAAGTTGCCGGGTTTTGTTGCTTCGTTGGTGTTGAACTTGGTATCAATTTTATCTTGTTCTTCATTTTGAAAGGTGAAAAGGAACCTACGATAGGTTCTTTCCCACACCCTTTATATATTTCCAAAAGGGAATTGATGTCGACACCTTTTTTAGCTTCTTATAACCTTCTATTTAATCAAGCCCATTGATTTCATTTTATTTATTCAATCCGATGACGATAAATCAAGAGTGGGAGTGTGATTCTATAGAAGGTCATTGAAAATCACTTTTCTTTTCTAAATTGCTAATCATTTTATTCTTTTAATTTCTAAACTTTTTAATGCTATTTGTAAGAGAAAATATGTCATACGGTTGTGGTTCTACACTTGACTAATGCTATTTGTAAGAAGCAATTCAAATAAAGAAGAGTCGTTGAGTCTTGTAGTTGGGGTTGTAACTGAGTATGGTATTAAGTTGAGTGGACAAAGGCATTCTAGTCTCTGCACCACAGTTGGGTAGATTTGATGCGTTGTGAGGTCATTAAGCACGCCCTAAATTACTCGAAATATTAGGATGCCTTACCCATTCTGCTTACATGTTTATGTGTGATTAGAGATAAATATGTCATGTATAATACATCTTGATAGTTGATAGTTCCTCTAATGGGGTCTCGCATTGTGGGATTTCAATCCTTTTGAACTAGGCTTTCTTTAGGTTTGTTTATCGTCCTTTCCATGTAATGACATAATTTGTTATTTTACGGTGTAATGTTGGGTTTTAGGGCTAGAGATTTAGAATTTAGCTTTGTGCTTGGGCCTTGGGGTCTTGAAGTGTGTTTTTTTGAATATTTTGTTGCATCATTTGGACACTTCCACTTAAACTTAGAGATCCAGTTTTAAGAAGCTGTTTCTCCACGTATGAGAAATAGAGACGTAGTTTCGTTTTGGTTTTGGTTTTATTTTTTTTAATTTTTTTTAATTTTTTTTCCTGTAATCTCAATTCAAAGGAGAGGGAACTCATATGAATTTGAGAAAAAATAGCGAAGGATATGTTTGTGTTTATGTTTCGAGGCTTACATAAGGCAGCTGCTGCCCAAGCCAATTGACTTTAAGTACCATATATTTTTGTTTTCTTGTTGTTTAATTGAATGGGGAAATGCATATAGGTCAACATTCTTTTATGGTTTAATTATTGATTTTATGTTTGATGGTATATATATGGTTCAAATGCTTAATTTAGTTATGCTTGGGGTTGGTGTGAGTGATATGCTGGATAATTAGGCATGTGATGTGATTTATGTATGCTTAATGAATTTTTTTCTTCTTCTAATTGTGCAGATGTCAAAAAGTTATAAGGCGGTGACGACTGCACCTCGTTCGCCTCTTGATGCTCATCCGTCAGCTGCTACTGCTCCAACACATGTCGGTTGATCCAGTTGGTCCCAGGGTCTCCCAGGCGCCGGCGTCATTAGCCTCAATGGCGTTACCTATTAGCGCCAGGTGTGGTCATCGCTGCCCCCACACACCCGACATGCCATCGGCATTCACTACTGATGCCTCAGGGTCACTACAAGGTAAAGTTTAATAATGCCCCGCCCGTTCATAACTGTTTCTTTTTTCTATAGTGCTTTGGTGATTTCTCCATATACACTATTCTACGTGATATTGGATTGCCTAATGATGCTAGGAGGGTGTTCATTAGTTCTTTGTAGGGAACAACGTGTCACTGAAACTGTTTGTTCAATTTTTCTGCTTAATTCCAAGTTTTACTAGTTTAATTTTGTTCAAAAGTAGAGCTGCGGCTGCTCTAAGTTCTATATTTAGTTAGTTAGGTAAGTAGAAAGAAAATGTGTAAAGCGAATGTATCATTGTGCTTTGAAATGCAAATGCTTGCATGAATTGAAAGTAATTGTTGTTTACTTATGCAAACATGGAGTTGGATTGTATTTACATTCTATAACAACGCATAAAATGTTGGCAAAGTAGAACCTTATAAAGAATGCCAAATATGAAATATGATAAGCATTTGGTTGCTGAATGACATTGCAAATTAGTAAAGAATTGCCTAGTGACGGTTATTAGTTTTGATGCGGCTGTGCCAAGATATTATCAACAATTCCTTAGTTTGAAAAGTATTTGGTTAAGGTATTGTTATGATTTTAGATGAATTATTTCGCGGTTGATTGTGTGTTGAGCCCCTTTGGTTTAGCAATGAGCGATAGACATGTTTCATGACATAACATGGGTGGTGGCTGTCATTGGTTCTTTATGGATTGTTTGGAACATTTCTTGGTTATGTTTTTCTCATGCCTTTTCATCAAGTATAATTTGTGTTCGTATTTCAATTGTGCATGGTAGAGTAACAGGAAGACAGTGCTGAAAAAGCCAAATGTTTGAGTTCTTATGCAACCAAATGGTTCTGCTAGTATGGTTATTTCTGCAATGTTTCACCTTTATTTTTATTCCTGGTTTGTCCTTTTCATCACTACTGTTGAATATGTTCTTGTTTTGTTATATGTTTTTAGAGTCCAATAGTTGTTATATGCCTCCACCGATGGTAATTAAACAAGAAAGAAATTTCAGTTAACTTAGTTTTGTTATTTTAGGTTAAGTTTGTTAAGTTATGCCATTTAAGGATTAAAAAGTTATTATATATATATATTGTGTATTGTTGTCATCATTCCGAACCTATTATTAAACATTTGTGATCATTGTGTTGGATACATATATTGTTTATGTTATTTTCAGGGTTTTGGAAAATGTTTTAATTATAGGAAGGTTATGCCAAAATTTTAGTAGGATTTGTTATTAGTTTTGGGTTAACGTTAATTTTACATTTCTTTGCAGCCAAGAAAAATACCTGTGGACCTTGTTGCCAGTTGAAGACGGTGAAGATCACCCGGGTGAACAACGGACATAACACAATTGAATACGATGACCGACATCTGGCTGCACCAACGGCGGAATAGCATAGCTCATTGGCCCACAACATGTCACGTCGTTCGAACCTATTGCCCTATATAATGGAAGTCTTGGAAGGCGATGCCAGACGAGGTGAGGATGAAGGTGCGCACACAGTTGTTGGTAAGTATCCTACATTTTAATTGTTTTTCCTTTAAATTTTATATATTTATATTACTTAATGTATGTAATTAATTTGTTACATTGGAGACAAACTATAATTTCGACTACAGCAACGAGCATATGTTGGCATACAATCAACATGCTTTTTGCTAAACGTTACAAGCACTGGAAGAGCGACTTGCACCAATATTTTGAGACATTTGATGATTTGTAGGTTGCTCTTGAGGAGGGTTGCCCGAATAGTTTTGAGGACCGGGAAGATAATTAGGCGTGGCTCTGCAGTCATTTTTAGGAGCCTGGGTATGTGGTACGTTTTTTATTTAAGTTTAAAAGTATTATACGTTTCTTACTAGTGTTTATTGATATTTTTTATATTTCATTTAAATTTGAACTAATACGTTTATCTTTTGTATAACAGAAGAAGGCGAAAGCCAACAAAAGCAATCGGGAGAAGAAGACTCTTCTCCACCATTTCGGTTCGAGGCCTTTCTCATATAGGATGGAGGCGCGGCGGCGGGTAATAATAAAGTTTTTCATATTTAATTTTTAATATGTCATTAATATTAATTTTTTTTTCGTACTAACATTTTTCTTCTCTTGTTTTATTTAGGGGGGTTCAAAATTCTCGGAGATCGATGTCTTTAGCGAAGTATATGTTCGACCCGGGGATGAGTTGGCCGAGTTCCTTCATGTAAATATTCTTCAATTGTAATTACTATCTTATGCATTCCAGTATCATGGTTATTAATAATATTTAATGTTATATTACACAGGCGACGATGATGGAGAAGAGGCAGTTCGTTCTTCAAGAGGCCGTCTCCCAGCTTCCTCCCGAGACTCTGCTCGAGTCTGTGGATCCCTCAGAGGATGTGAGGTTTCAGATCCTTACGGAGACCTTGGATCAAACTCTCGGGCGGAGGCTGGGGACGTATTGTAGAGGGATGGGGAATGCGCGGCTGTGGGAACCTAGAGCCCCTTCATCATCGTAGTCAAAGAGTCAAGTGACAATTTTGATAGCAAAGAAGCTCACCTCGTATAGGAGCCAGATGTCACAGATTGTACAAGCCTTCAGTCAGTCTAGCATTCGTCTCCCGGATCTTTGTCCCCTGTCAACATCCGAACCCCTTCAACCCGAGCATGCCCACAACTCTGCCCTTTCAACCTCTCAGCCCGTCCACAACCTCGAGACCTTCCATCCGCCTTCGAATGACGACCCCGTAGATTATGTTGCATTATTTTATTAGTTTTTTACTCCCTTACTTTTTAAACATTTTTCTTGTGCACACATTTATATTAATTTAAATAAATTATTTTTCTCTTCATTACATTTTTTAATTGCAATTTAATTTTATTACAAAAAAAAAAAAACAGAACAAAAAAAATTAAATTAAAAAAAAAAAAATTTTTGCACGACGAATACCTTCATATCTCGAAACTCTAGCAACTAACAAGGTTTCGTCGCGCAAGAATAAATTGTCATTATGCAAAGTTTAGACAAATAAATAATGGTCGTCCCATGTTTGTATCCTGATATTTGGTGCAACAAACACACTCGTTCTAAAAATTTTGTGCGACGAAGGCTAAACTGTCGCGTCGTGTGGTTGCGACCAATGATATTGTTCGTCGCGCAAAGTCTTTCTTCACGATCTTTGTGCGACGGATTATGCACGACGAAGTTTCAATCGCGCAGAAGTTCGTGCAATGAAAATACACTTTGCACGACCAACTTTGATTTGTCACACAAATAGTAAAACGTAGTAGTGTTCTTGAATGCTTAAGCCATCCTTGATTTGGTACTTGTATAATGAAGTCATCAACATAAAGACACACCATAAGAAAATCATGTGTACCCTCTTTCTTGAGATAAAGTGATGGCTCACTTGGACTTCTTACAAATCCACTTTGACGAAAATATTGATCAATTTTGCTATTCTAGGCTCTTGGTGCTTACTTTAAGCCATATAGTGCTTTTCGAAGTCAACAAACTTTGTCTTCCTTTCCTTTTTCAATACATCTTTGTGGCTGCTCCACGTAAACTTCTTCTTCAAGTTCTCCATTCAAAAATACAGACTTGACATCCAATTGAAAAACTTGGATTTTCAATTGTGTTGCCAAAGCCAAAACAGTTCGTATAGTTTCCATTCATACAACCGGAGCAAACGTTTCATTGAAATCTACTCCAGGTTGTTGAGAGTAGCCTTTGGCAACCAGCCCAACCTTATGGTTTTGGATTGAGCCATCTTCATTGTATTTTGTCTTGTAGATCCATTTAAGTCCAAAGATGTCCTTTGATTTAGGCCGATCAACAAGTTACCAAGTAGAATTTTTCTTGAAAACTCTAATTTCTTCATCCATTGCGTCTTGCCAAATTTTTTCTTTCACTGCTTCCTCAAAATTTTGAGGCTCCAAAGCAATCAAGGCAAGATCATACGACTCATATATGTCCGCCAATGAACGCGTTCTTGCGTTTAGTCTTGGTGTTGAATCTCGTGAACTAGAATCAGAAGTTCTTGCACTTGGAATTTGACTTTTTGCTCCTGAAATTGGGCTTTGGGGCAGCATGGTTTCTTCTAAATTTGATGTTTTTGGTTCCTCGAAAATTCTCGGTATTTTACCTCATTCGTTTTTCCATCTCCAGACCTTGAATTCATCAAAAATAACTTCTTTGGAAATTACCAACTTATTAGTTCTTGGATCAATCAATCTTTATGCCTTGGACTTGTCACTATAGCCCACAAAAATGTTTTTTTTTCACCTTTTTTTATCAAACTTTTCTCTCTTTTGAGAAGGAATATGTCCATAGGCCATGCAACCAAAGATCTTAAAGAAATCAACCTTTGGCTTTAACCCATGCCATGCTTCGAAAGGAGTCATATCCTTGATAGACTTGTTTGGTGACCTGTTGAGAATAAACACCGATGTATGAATTGCTTCAACCCAAAACACATTTGGCAGACCTTTTTCTTTTAACATGCATCTTGCCATTTCAACAATGGTTTGATTTCTTCATTCTGCAACACCATTTTATTGTGGAGTGTAGCTTGCCGTCAATTCTCTTTTTGATTCCATTGCTTTTGCAAAATTCTGAAAATTCATTTGATGTGAATTCTCCACCACGATCAGTTCTCAACGTCTTCAGATTGTATCCACTCTGCTTTTCTCCATAGGCCTTAAATTGCTTGGAAAAAGAGAAGGCTTCTGACTTTTGTTCTAGAAAATAAACCCAGATCATCCTGCTATAGTCATCAACAAAGAGAAGAAACTATTTCTTGCCATTAAAAGATGGTGTGAGTCGATCCGCATATATCTGCATGTACCAACTCAAGAAGGGAACTTGCTTTCCATGTTGATTGTGAAAATGGTAAGCGGTGGAATTTTCCAAAAATACAACCTTCACATATTTCTTTCTCAGACTGAACGAAAGGAATGCCAACCACCATATTTTTTTGGTGTAAGAGGTGTAGACTTCTTTGATTTAGATGTCCGTACCTCATATGCCACAATAGTGATTCTTCTACATTTTCGGCTTCCAAAACATAGTTTTCTTTTGACGCCATGATCAACGGAAATACTTTGTTTGCCGTCATTTTTATCTTAGCCACTACAGTGCTATTCTTTTTATCAGAAATACCATTGTGGTTATCATCAAATTTAACAGAGAAGCCTTTTTGTAGGAGTTGTCCTACACTTAATAAATTTTGTGCCAAATTAGGAACATATAGCACATCATAGATTAGTTTTGGTGTACCTTCTCGAATTTGAAAAGAGATAATACCCTTGCCTTCCATGTTGTGAAGCTTTCCATCTTCAAGCTTGACTTGTGAATTCACATTTTCTTCAAATTTGATGAAACATTATATGTTTCCCGTCATATGGTTACTGCATCCGCTATCCACGTACCATATATCTTGTGGTTCTTGACGAGCGCTGAGACATGTATAAAATAGTTGCTTTGGAGAATCATTATTTTATGTGAAATTGGCTTCATTATTTTTCTAATATTTGCAATCTCTTTGAGAGTGGTTGGGTATTCTGCATCAGGTTCGCTTATACCGGCAATCTGCACTCACTAGTACAAAAACATATTTACGTGACGAAGCAAATTGCGTCGTGCAAAGTATGTTTGTGCAACGGTGACAACAAAACGTCATGCAAAGTATCTTTGTGCCTTGTCTTTTTACAAACATAACATTCAGGGACAAAGTTACCATTTTGGTTGTTTTGATGGCTGCGTCCTTGTTGATTGTTGTTGTTATAGTTGCCTTTGTTATAATTCTTCCGCCAATGAAATTTACTTTTTCTCTCTTGAGACTTTTGAGATTCTCCTTTTTGCTTGTCTTCTTTCTCCTTCAAATCCAAGTTGGATTGAAAGGCTTGCTCCAAGGATTGGTCTGTAGACCTATTAATCCTTTTTTCATGTGCTTCCAAAGAACCAATTAGTTCATGGAGCGTAAGTGGAGTGAGATCTTTTGACTCCTCTATTGATGCAACATCGTGATCGAATTTTGGTGGTAGACTGCATAGAGTTTTCTATACAATTTTCTTGTTTGGAATTGCATCCCCATAACTTCTGATTTGGTTAACAATTCTAGAAACTTTTGTGAAGAAAACCTGAATGGATTCATTCTCCTTCATTAGTAAATTATCAAACTCTTGCCACAAGGATTGGAGTTTGATGGAGATCAATTTCTGTGAACCTTGGACTCAGTTTTGAGTATTTCCCAAGCATTCTTTGATGTAGTTGCAGAAAGTAATCTTGGAAAGAGATTTTTGCTTACTCCCTGTTGAATTAGGAATAAAGCCTTGGCATCTCTTTTCCTATTTTCTTTAAGTGCTTGCTACGTTTCTGGTGTCACTTTTCCGGTTCCTCATAACCATCTTCTTCAAGATCCCAAAGATCTTGAGAGATGAACATGATCTTCATTTGTAGGCTCCAATATTCATAATTCTCTCCATCAAAAATAGGCATTAAATTTTGAATATTTTCCATGGTTGAGAATTTGAACTTGATGCCATGATTAACACAGCGGAGGGATTGGCTCTGATATACCAAATTTGTTGGAGGAAGATGGATATGAGAGAATATGGAAAGAGAGTTTTAAATAGAAAACTGAACTTTATTGATAACTGACTTTATTGATTTCAAATTGATTACAACACTAGGTCATCTTATTGGCTATTTATAATAACATTCAGACCTTTTCATAACAGACATAATTCTTGGATTAGTTCCAAGAGTTGCAGACACAACCCTAGACATCTGATACAACTCTTCCTAAACACAACTCTTCTTAAGTGACACAACTCTACTTAACAACTGATAAAACTAACAGGGAGAAAGTGCATTATGTTTAACAAGCTGTCAATGCTAAGAGTCAGAATGTTGGAAGAGCTTGTGTTACTGTCGGAATCAACACAACTTGATTTGTTAAAAATCCACTTGTCTTGTATACGTTTCATTTTGTCTTGCGATGCAATGATCGCGTTTGAAACATCACTCATGAGAGGTGAATTCTTTGGGAAGGCCTGTAAGTCACGAAATCAAGAGGAACAGAGAAAGTAAAAGTTATGTCATTAGCAAGTAAAAGGTTCCAAGTTCGGGCAAATGAGTCTGCAATGATATAGAAGATATCACCAAGTAACCCACCTATAACTACTAGTAAGTGTTGAGTCTTATCACAAAAGGTTTCGGTAATATTAGCAGTGAACCTCCCACATATAAACTAAATACTATTTTGTTATATCTCCAATGTTAAGACTCTATTCTCCAACAAAATATGGCCAGATTGTTCTATGTAAAATAATAACAAAGGTATGGGAGAGAGAAGCAAGTAAGCTTACGAACGCAAAACTGCCTGGTGTAAATATCTTTTGGCCAACCGTAGTATATTTTGAGCAATAAGTAGAGAGAAAAAGCTCGACCAAAGGCTTTTCATCGAAAGCAGCAGAAACAATCCCTTGCTCAAAAAGTTGAGCCAGTCCTTGTTCAGAATCACAGCTTATAAGCTTGTTAGATGGGATTCCAAGTTCTATCAAAATCTTAACTACAAATGAACCTTCTTGGTAGCCAACCCCTTTCGTCAGGTCTAGTTGGAGCGGTTGGAGCTGTTGAACTGTTAAAAGTGATGCTAAACTGGCAGTGTAACTTTGAATCAGTACGAGGACAACAAAGCACCAACCTAGTTAAGTTGCTCAATACTCTCTCTCCTGTTACAAAAGTCCAGAAGAAAAAAAGGAATGGATATATAGTCATGAAATATGTGTTAGAGCTAGAGTAT